GTGGGTTTGGTTTCAGTCAGCAAAACGTCCATTTAACATTAAAAAACATGAAGTTTTCTTATCTGACTGAATTGATGAGGAGCCAACTATTACAAGGATTAGACAGTATTTCTGGGTAGGTCCTGGTGTATCGGCCATCTTCATTCTGCACGTTTCATACAAGAGGGAAAGATGTGACAGTCTTAGAAATATTTGAGTTCTTTGGCAGTAGCAGTGGTGCTCTAGATTTCTAATTTTAACCTATATGTAATTTTTTCTGCGTCCAAAACTTGTAAGTGTCAACACCCTTGACTCTTTAGATTCTGAATAAGATTCAGCCTTTACTAAGAATGTTCTGATTGTACCATGTTCATATAACAAGGTTGTAAGATAAAGTAATCGACCCACCCCCTCACTTGCTCCTTGTCAGCTGGTTCCCCCCCCCCTCCACCCTGAACCTGGGTGGGGGACTGCTGCAGGTCTTTGGAGGGAGGCTGAGGAATGTGGGTGATAGTTGTTAAGTGAAAGCTGCGCTGCCATCTCTGATAATTCACAGTCTCCGTGGGTGTGAGTCTCGGGCCAACACTAAGCAGAACCTTTCACAAGACTGAGAAGAAGAAAAAAAAAAACACCGGCAGAAAGAAGGAGAGAGAGACTCTTCAGCAAAACACAGAGTTTTAAATATATATGTAAATAAATATATTAAAAAACACCAGCATCATCACAGCTCCATCTTCTACGCATAAAAGGTTTATAATGACTAGCTGGCTTCAAAATTAGATCTCTAACAGCAACATACAAGGCCAGGAGAATGGACGTCATACCTGCATTAGCATCATTGTAAAGCCGTTTTCTTTTTTTTTTGTATCAAAAACTATTACACTGACTGATTGGACATAAGAGACAAATCTTGTTTCATTACAGCTAAACTAAAGGAGTTCATCGTTTAAATTTGACTCTGCTACGTTGGTCTGCAGATTCAGTTTTAGTTTCAGTCAGAACTTAAAGCCTCTGAAATGTTCTCAAGTCAATCCCGTTACTTGCAGGGGGTCTACGTTAATGAAGCGCTTGCCAGGGAAGATCTACCTCAACCTTCTAATGTAGTGTATGGACATGTGTACACATCTTCCTGTAATCAGTGTCGAGTTTTGCACCAGTATACTGTTAAGTGACACAGAGAGCATGATGGGACATGAGGAAAGAGGAGAGGTTAACCTGCTTTAACCCTTAAAGTAAAAAGGAAAGAGAGATGTTGACTATGCGGTGTAGATAAAACCTACATTTGAGAACGGTTGTTTGGTGTTAACCTAAATTGATTCACAAGCGCTTACATTTAGCCATATCCTGCTGACTCATTTGAAAACGATTGTTGAGTTTATCCGTAGAGAGTCAACTTGAATAGTAACGTTTTGTCATAAAAAAAGGGAATAAACATCTCAAAGGTGTCATAAACTCTCTTAAAGCCTTAAGGGAGCTGGAGTGAGAAGTGCTGTGATCCTTTAAGATATACTTTTCAAATGATAGTTGTTTTAAATATGTTCCCATGGTACAATACATTTGCGTCCTTCTTGGATTTTGCTGTTATCCCCCCCCCCCCCGGAAAAAAAAAAAAAGCTCTGATAATGCGCTCTCTCAAATTGCTCTCCCCCTGTTTTAAATGAGGGTCTGGTGTCCTTTAAAGTCATTGTTTATATACTTGCTGTCAGGACCACCGACTTCCTGCTAAAGTGAATGGCTCCTGTGCTAAATCCATCATAAAGGAGGAGAAAAAATACAAGTAACGTTCTATTAGTCCCTCTCATTCTACTTTTCCAACTTAAAGAATGCACTTTTCAGGGATTTCATCAGGTGTTGAGTGGTGATGCTGTTTGGATGTGGAGCGACGCTCTGTTGTAGTGTTGCTGAGGGTGGCATTTCTGAATTATGGCCCACCAACTACACAACTATTGCATGCAAACAAACCTGACTAAGATGTTGTATATGGTGAACATCATACCTGCAAGATATCAATGTCTTAGTATTGTCTTTGGAAGCAAATAAGCTCCAAAGCAGCTCTGTGCTGAAGAAGAGGCTCACAGACTTGACTGCTGACTCCCTGCCTTGTCTCAACATGATTATAAAATATGAAATCTTATTGATGAGAAAGTAATTGTCTTAAAGATAAACTCCCACACACTGTCTAATTTGCAAACAAACATTCATTGGCAACGTTTGGGTACTAGACCTTCATCGGGCAAAAAGTCAAGACACATTACTCTCCTACGCTCCTGTCTTGTGAAGTGGATGTGCAAAGGTTTTTTTTTTCAATGAGAGGGTAATTGTCACATTTAGGATGCCAAGCATTTTGTTTTTATTACATAATCCTCATCAAATGATCCGAATCGAGAAAGTCAAATTTAGATAAGGAGATTGATTATTATTTAGTTTTTTCAGGTTTTTACCTTCTACAATGTGTTAAACTCATGAACCTGTAGTGATTGATTGATACATTGTTTAAGTACCACAGGTAATTCAAACATCATTGCTCTTAGATGTGAAGAAAATATCTCCCATATATGTGAAAACTAAACAAAAATATGATTTTTAATGAGTATATTTTGCAATACTTGTGTGAAAATGTGCAATTATTAAAATCCAGTTTTCAACAAGAATTGAACATTGATTTCTTGGTTGCCTTGATGCAGTGTTTCACCTCCACAGCATAGAGGTGAAACAGGACAGGTCAGAAGTTAAACAGCAACACATCCATACAGCCATGCTGATGATCATTTATTGATTAAGCCTGCATATCCTCCCTAAGCTGTGGGCAGCTTTTGAGGCAAAATACATTTTAATCTATGCTCGGCTGAATAGCCAGTATTAGTGCTGCTTTTGCCTGTCCTGACTAGATTGGAGCAGCTCTTACATAATGCCCTTTTCATATCCAGGGATTAGGCTGAAGTCCTCTTCACAGACTGGCTGGCTGCTTCCATCATGTCACCCAGAGGGAAATGACTGCTGCTTTCATGGCAAAAAAAAAAAAAAAAGATTTTTCAGTGACGTCCTGTTCAATTTCTGCTTTGTTTTAGTCATTACAAACAACATAAGCCTTTTAAGTAGGATGTAATCTTATTGGTAACTCAAAGCTAACAAAGACTAAGCAATTGGGATGAAACGATAACTCACAAAACAACTAAAAATTGATACAAATATAGATCATGTTTATCAATTAGACCAAAAAAAAAAAGCACCATATTTTGTGAAAATATTGCAAGAGACTTATAAACTACAGTCATAGCACACTCGATGTGATGTGAAGCAAGTGAGAGACTGAAAACGTAGTTAGAACATACACTGGGAAGCAGATTTGAAACAATTTGTATTGTTACATCCCGAGTAAGCAGTGAACCTGTATACATTGTAATATGGTTAGAAACAATCAAAACCAGCATAGAACTGGCCGTCAGGATAAGGTAACGAGTGTGTTTTGAACACAAGGGAACACAAGCAGGTGTAGCGGCCTCGCACTGTTAGTGTGTCGGTGTGTGTAGAACAGATAGCAGAGCTACAATACTAAAGAGGTGGAGTGCTGTTGCGTAAACACAAGACCTTACTTTGTACTCTGTAAAACCCCCCATGTCTTCCCCTCTTGAAAAAAGTAAGCAATTAGTTTAAGGCTGTGGCCTCGGACACATGGAGTGTGAATTTGGACAGATGAATATTGTAAGTACAGTGGCTGAAGCTTATTGCATTTGGAGAGATAACAGTATTTTGAATGAACACAAAGGCTGACAGGAGGCGTTCACCTGCAAACCGTGCTGCAGGTTTCACTTTTGTCTCGTGGCTGTTTTTGCTTGATCAGTGAGAGTAATGTAAACAGAGCCCAGCGCTCCGAGCCATCTGCCTAATGTCACTCTGGCCCATATCTGTCTTTCTGTCTCTGTCTCGCTCTCTCTCCCTCTCTCGATCACGTTTTCTCTGCAGATCTCTTCTATATTCTTCCTGTCATCCTCACATTGTCTTTTTCCCTTCCTCATCTCCTTACCACTCATTTCCTTCCTTCCCTCAACATCTGTCAGTCTTCAGTCTTATCTCTGTTGTACATTAAGCTGCTGTTCTATTTTTAGCCCCGCCCCTTGTTTTCTTTCTTGTAAAACTCATCCGGCCATCACCCATCTGTTTTCAATTCTTGTGTCTGACACTCTGTAAACTGTGTCACCTCGGGTCACCTTTATCCTCAATCGCTAAAAACATTCTCTCTCCATGTCTCTGATATGTTTCGACTGCAGAAAGCTTGAGTTATGTACAATGACAAAGCTGGTCACTGACACTGATTAGATGGTTCAAAATATTATTTATTATTTATATAAAATGTAATTATATTTATGTATTCTTTACTTTTTTCTTGCTTTATGCCTTCATACCATCTGAGCAAAACCAGCAGCCCTAAAATTATTTTCTTACAAAAAAATCACGATATCGAAGAAATATTGATTAATTTGTTCTCATTGTTTAAAAAAAAAAGTTTAAAGACATCTTTCGCTCATGAAAATCAGATTACATTCACATTTATTAAGGCATATGATTAACAACAGAATAGATTTATTTTATTAAAGTTAATTTGTATATTTTTCAGTTATAGTGTAAAAAAAAGTTTAAGCTGCTAATGAAACAGACTGACATTAATAATGATGCCTCTATACAAACCCAGAGAAGAGATTGGTCGTTATTTTATATCCCTGAAAAGGGTTATTTAACTCTGGAAATGAAGTTAGATGATTTTGACTTTATAAAGAAGTTAACACTACTGTAGGTTTATTACTAACAATGTAGCAAATAAAACAAACGACGGTTTCCAGACTTTTTAAAGGAGAATTTTTTTTAAAACAATAAAAATGTTGTATCGATAATATTATTCATACCGGCTTACATCTCTGCTTCAGTCATTCAGTCAGTCATATTGTTACCTCACAGAACTAGCAGTATCTCATTCATCCTTTGGTGTCTTGAACCTTTACCACCTCTTTCTCCCTTCTCTCCAGGTGAGCGCTAATGTCCTGATCTTCCTGTGCACTAACATCATCGGAATCTGTACCCACTACCCCGCTGAGGTTTCCCAGAGACAAGCCTTTCAGGAAACCAGAGGATATATCCAGGCCAGACTCCACCTTCAGAGGGAGAATCAACAACAGGTTGGCCTGCACACACAATATAACACACATGTTAAGTATTTATAACCTTATTGGCCAGGATTTGAGAGAGCAACTTTGTTTCCATAGCTTGTTCCTGGAAAAGTTTTTTTTTCCTTTTCAGTAGACATCCTCGAAGCCTTTTTTCTTCCAAAACTGGAACATGAAATACTTCTTCCATTATGCAGAATGTAAACAACACAAAATACGTTTTGTATGTGCAGCTTATTCTTATGTACTCACACCAACTCCTCCTGTCCTGTCAGGCTCTTGGAGAGAGTTACGCTGAGTTGTTTTTCTGGCAGTTAGATTTGTTTTAGCGCCTCGTTTTTTATTCAAGGGATAATTTTGACAAATAAATAATTCAGTCCCAGCTCTGTTTCTACAGTGAAAAAAAATCAGGGGAAATTAAAACTCTTTTTCACTGTTCAGGAAACTATTTCCATCCTGGCAGCAACACGTAAAGCGTCTTACACTATACGATTGTAGAAAAGTCAGGTTGGAATGTCGACTCAATGGAGCGTTGATGATTGATAATAGACAGAGGTTGAAGTGAGATCTTTGTGCATTTCAGTTGTATGCACAGCTCAAATAGGCTACACACACTGGCAAAAACACTCTCAGCTCCTGCAGCAACACGTCCGATGTGTCCTTGGGCAAGACACTTAACCCCGAATTGCTCCCGCTGCTTCATCTGCAATGTATGAGTGCGTATGAATAGGATTAGTTATTTCTGGTGGTCTCACTACATACAGTAGCAACCTCTGCCATCAGTGTGTGAATGGGTATGAATGGGTTGGTGTGACATGCGGTGTAAGTGCTATATTAGCTCAAGTCCATTCACCATTTACCCTCTGCATCACCAATAAACACAAGCTTATTAGCATCTAAATATAACACAACATATATTCCCTGTCAGCTGCAAATCCAGAGATATTTCCTGCCAATATTTCTGTCATGATAGGAGGGGGAAGACATATTAAAGAGACATGCCTGTTGTTGTCAGAGAGACTTTGGCAGAAAAAAAAGTCTTGAAGTCGGGAAATTGTCTCTCAAAAATGTATGCGGTCGGTCAGGAGCACCTGGCTGGATCACTGCAAGACTGACAAAGCTCAATTGGACTGAAATTGGGCTCAACTTCAAAACCGTGTCTTAATTGGGTCGTAATAGGCCTGAAATAATACAGTGTACACCCAGCATACACAAGGCTAACTCTGGAAGTCAAACAGGTTTTTCAGTCAACGATACATCATAGTTGACTTGTCTTTACTAGCTAGCCTCGCAAAATCTGGACCTCAAACAAACCATGCTGCAACACAATGTACTATTTGTACTACGCAATCAAAGAAAACATCTGACATCTTGAATAAGAACATAACTAATCCTCCACATTATCAGTCTCGCAACCTTTTCCAAAACTAACATCTTTATTCTTATCTCTTCTCTCCTAAAATGAATCCTAGTATCATGTAGTGAGTACTGATACAGTACTTGAGTCCCTTTTTTTCACCCTTACATTTCTAAACTGTTAACCTCACTGAACAACAAACATGGATACCTCACAATATGACATTGTATCGCCCTTTTTTGGGGAATAGAACTAGGGTGATTCCACAGGCTGTTTTGACGTGTCTGAATGCCATGTTGAAAAAATATTGTGATTATGATTATGGATATTTGAAAAATTTCCTGAAGAAGAGCCACAGTTAACTTACAGTACATTTTAAGAAATGAAGGTGATGATGCCCCCCACCCCCACCCCATCTTTTCGTGTCTCAGTGGATCAGTAGTCGGTGTTGAGTTAAAGCTACAGTAGGTAACATTATTGGAATAGTAACTGGGCCAAAAAGACACATTCTGATCTATGCATCCAATCAGGGTTAGCCTAACTCTAGCAAATCACAGTGGCTCTCCACAAACTATCATCATCCTGCTTCTTCATGACTTGTGTCTGCAGCTTTCTCCGTTTCTCTCTCTCTCTCTCTCTCACACTCTCTCTCTCTCTCCTCACCTCGGTGGTGCTGAGAACACAACAGCTGTGCAGCCCACATCTGTTGTTAATTCATAACTGTTTTTGGAAGTAAATTGATTGGCTGTCAGTGTTTCTGTCCTCTGAGTTGGACATAACCAGCTGAGAGGAGCAGACAGTTGGCTGGCGTGAATGTTTGGTGCGTCATTTGGTGTGACGAGCTTAGCGGAGCGATACAAGGTAGCAGAGGGAGAAGACGAAGATTTTTATCTTTAAAAATGTTCATATTGTCACTTTAACATTTAAAACTAATCCTTACCATACCCCAACTTTAAGTGCAAATAAGTGTGATTATTTCCCAGAGAAGGGCTTAGTCTTGGAGAATAGTGCATTATGAAGTTTTGTTTTTGCCTTAGCGTATCTGGAGGAATGAACTCAGCACTCTTAAGCGCTCCCATTAACCATTGTGAAGGAACATGCCAGCCCATACAACAGTTTGTCTCACTGAGGTTGAGTTTGAAATATTTGTTATGAATCGATGGAGCGCAGAGACAGAGTTAGATGAGGCCTTGAATAAAATGACAGCTCCTGTATGACTCAATTTATTCTTGTTTTTTTGTCTTTTCATTGGGTTTTTCAATTTAATGAGTCCTAGGTCCTAATTGTTATAATAACACAAAGCCCAATTCTCTGAAAAAGCCCTTCAGAAGTACAGATCTGGTAAAAAAAAAATCATCTAATGAATCAATTCTGAAACTGTTTTTATGTGACGTTACCCTTGACACACTGCAACATAGTGACACGATCTGCATTTTGTTTCTTTTTTTTTCTGTGTTTTTCAGGAGCGTCTGTTGCTTTCAGTGTTGCCAAGGCATGTTGCCATGGAGATGAAGGCTGACATCAATGCCAAGAAGGAAGACATGATGTTCCATAAGATCTATATCCAGAAACACGACAATGTCAGGTCAGACGAGACTCTGGGCCTCACTACCTCAGTGCCGGCCCTTCATGTTCCACACATGAATATGGATTTCAGTCACTTGATTAACCTGTTTTCTGTTTATTAGATTTAATTTATGACAACTCGAGAGTTTTGTATAATTTAGTCTAATGTATCATGTCATGTCAGCATCACAACATAATAGAATAGAATAGAATAGAATTTCTTTATTGATCCCAAACTGGGAAATTGTGGCGTCACAGCAGCAAGTTATCCAACACACAATATGAGTAAAAAACACAATGTTAGCAAATCTAAACACAATATAATATTAACTACAAAGTAAATAAGCACTAAAAATACCAAAACTAAGACTGTGAATATATACAACCAGGATTTAACTAAAGCATTACTAGTCTTAAATAGGAAGATTAAATATGGAAGATTAAATGTAAATGTGCAAAAACAGAGTTGTAAATGGACAGTATTGACATGTTAAAGTGCATGAGTGTAGACATATTATAAGCAGAAACTATACAATATAACGGCGAGTAGACAGACAAATGAAGTGAACATGAGCGCAGGGATAATTTGTAAATTTAACAATACATATTAAGATAAAGTGCATACTTCCTTAAATTCAGTACGTTACAAACATTTAGCAAATTCTTTCTCAGTTTAGCTAACATCAGTGCACACAAATCCCAACACACACACACACACACACACACACACACACTCAAACATAGACACACACACACACACATATATAAAATTTCACTGACAGTCAGAAATGGTACAGAGGTTTGGCAGAGTGGAGGCTAATTAACACTAGTGAGGGAATACTTAATCACCAGCAGCCATGATAAAATAATCCCAAAAGATGGGAGAGCTTCAGCACACATTCAATTACAGAACACACTGTGCACAGTCCCTGTGTCCCTCACACACACACACACACACACACACACACACACACACACACACACACACACATCTCCAACATGGAGGTCAAACTTCCTGTCTATCTCAAGGTCAGCAGCTCTTAGTTAACATACTAGCATGTAGTACTGCTGCTAATAATGTTTTATTTTTGAGAAATAATGGCCCTATTCCCCTCTGTCTTTCTACCTCTCGACCGTGTCCTCAGTATTCTGTTTGCAGACATCGAGGGTTTTACCAGCCTGGCCTCTCAGTGCACTGCTCAGGAGCTGGTCATGACACTCAACGAACTCTTTGCACGCTTTGACAAACTGGCATCGGTAAGGAGCTCCCTAGTCCTTTGTTACCGTCTCATGCTCACTTAAATAAATACATTGTTTGTCTTCTTTAAGAACAGCCTTTGATGTGCCTAATTTGTTAATTTGCTGCCGCAGCTTTCAGGTTCTACATGTCTAAGCTAATCTTGGCTGCATAATCTGTCTGCCTAATACCTAATGTGAAAGTAATCGCTATTTTTATCATCTAACTCAGTGCAAGAATGCTTTTTTTTTTTTTTTTTTTTTTTTTTCAGACAACTACAAGAACACTTTTGCAAACTGTTTTTCTCTACTGTTGTCCTTTCTCCACCAGGAGAACCACTGTCTACGAATAAAAATTTTGGGTGATTGCTACTATTGTGTATCCGGGCTGCCTGAACCCAGGGCTGACCACGCCCACTGCTGTGTGGAGATGGGTGTCGACATGATAGAGGCCATCTCGTGAGTACAAATACTCTTCCTATAAGCTAACATAGGAGTTAGTTTTTATACATTTCCTGCTGAAAGTGTAGCACTGACACTGATCCTTTGCCCTGTGTGTCTGCAGGCTGGTGCGGGAGGTGACAGGGGTCAACGTAAACATGCGAGTGGGCATTCACAGTGGGCGTGTGCACTGTGGCGTGCTGGGACTCAGGAAGTGGCAGTTTGATGTGTGGTCAAATGATGTAACACTGGCAAATCACATGGAGGCGGGAGGCAAAGCAGGGTTAGTAGAACTATATTTTGTGTCATCAAATAAAGTAAAAATATTCATAAATTGAATCAATGTAATTCCATTCATTTCTGTTATTGTATCGGGCAAAAATGGCCACTCATCTATTCTAAATGGATTTTTTCAAATGTTTCCTTTTCCCCCCTTAAGGTCCTTTTTATTTTTTTCAAGTATTTATTTTATTTACTTTTTTATAATCTATGTCTATTATTTCCATTTTTAGCTATTTCATTGTATTCTTTGATGACTGATGTCATTAATTTCTCATTATTGTCCTGACCACCATATATGGAAACTCAAGTGCTGACTTGAATGTGCATTTCCGGCATTCTCAAGTTCTTCAAACAACAATTGTGAAAAAAATTGAAAAGATCAATACAGACCAACATAAATATGCGAATGATCTTCTTCTGCAGGAGGATCCACATAACCAAGGCCACATTGCAGTATCTTAATGGAGACTATGAGGTGGAGCCAGGCTTTGGAGGAGAGAGGAACGCATATCTGAAGGAGAACAGCATTGAGACCTTTCTAGTCCTCGGCTGCAGCCAGAAGCGGGTCAGTGCACAAAACACACCCAGCTGAAAAGGGATAAGAGAGGGTTGTAATTGCACAGTAGTCAGGAAAATAACTACATTTAACTATAAATAATTCTCTAATATTTTGGTATTTGTTTGATTTTTCTTTCTATTTTCTTCTTCCCATTTTCTGTTTCATTTTTAATCAGTTGTTTGGACATTAGCCTTTAAGCACATTTTTTAGACTATGCCAACCCTAAGTGTTAAGCCTGTGTACAACCACACAGGTGTTTTTTTTATTTTTCTGGGTGATCAAACCAGGGCTGTGTCTGAAACAACATACTTTCATAGTATTTATATTGAATATGACATCACATTGAGTATGTAGTATGATCGAAAATCATAGTATTACATTTTGTGTATGTGAGAAAAGCCTGGATTTATACTAAATTGGACAGAATTTTTAGATATGAAACGTGAGCACACTGGTTATAATAAAAAACCACCCCACAATGCACGGCGCTCTCAGACTCTCAGTATCGAAGTAACCATACTGAAATACATTTTTTATGTAGCCAAATAATATTAAAATGGCTATGTAGTTGTTTAAGTAATGGATGGATATATGTTGTTGTTGAATTCTATTTATGGTACGATCACACTAGCTTGATGCTAGCTTATCCAGCGTTACTCGGACCAGAAATACTTTATTTGACCCATAGTAAAGTATGTTGCTTACAGCATACTAACGGTCATGGTAGAATTCAGTATTTATTGTTTGAGTATGGAGTAGGCAGTATGATGGTATGTGGCCCAGGACAGGTTGTAAATAAGTGGAGCTATGGTGAGAATTTATGACACAATACATTTTTAAGCACAGACAAGTACGATAACAGGTCATCAAGTCCTCTTTCCAAAATAGTTTCTTTAAAACTACTAGGGTTGCGGAGCTGTCAGTCAAACCAACTTGACCACATAGATCTGAGAAGAGATCTAATCACGGTTTCAAACACCAACACCTGTGTGGGCGTACGGAGGACTTAAAGCACATAGGATACTCAAAAATGTTGACAGATAGGATGGCACAGTTAATCGCAATTTCATCATTATCGTGATATTAGAATTTGTACGGTTTATCTCCAAGCATGTGTGTATTTTACCCTTTGGGTGGAGGCCTGACTATAATGGCCGTGTTTTAACTGCATTTTGATGCAGTCTGATGAAGCTCAGGGTCGCTATCAGCTAAGAATAATTGGTCCCAATTTAGTGGTCGAAAAGGCTATTTCAATTTATTTTGGATCTCTGGGAAACATTTTATGAACACAGGTGTTGGGAAAAACATAATGACCAGCAGATGGTCATAAAAACTCTATTATTGTCGCTAATATGCACCCTTCGTTTCTATTCCTTATGGCTATATTGAACAATGTTATCGCACATTACATATTTTTCTAATATTGTGCAGGCCAAGGGAAAAATCATTTTCTGAATGACAAAAAGCGTGGAAAAAGTAATGACAAACATTTGTATTTATCCTGTGATGACACCTCACTTAAAACATAATATAAATTGTACTAGGCAGGCATGTAATATCCTTCAGCATTATCAGAAAACACTCTTATTGAATGAACGTTCCCATGATGAAGCTGCTTTTAAAGCTGGTGGAGGTAATGTACAGGTCAACAGAGGCCAAGAACTGTCACATGAAGTATAGTAGACGCACAATAGCAACAGATAAGAGTGGACAGATTTGTGAATGAAGTAATCCTCTTGATCCTGAAGTGACTGTACACTTCCTTCGTGGGCGTAATTCATGCCTGAATGAATAAATAAATACCTCCTCTTGTGTATTTAGACACTTGTATTGTCACTGACTGTGTTGTTTTGAGAACAGTTGGTCAAGCTTTTATGTTCTTCCCTCTGAGCAGAAGGAGGAGAAGGCGATGATGGCTAAGATGCAGCGGACAAGAGCCAACTCTAACGAGGGGCTGATGCCACGCTGGGTCCCCGACAGAACCTTCTCCAGGACCAAAGACTCCAAAGTCTTCAGACAAATGGTGAGACTCCACACCAAGACACTCATAATAACTGAGCAGAGTGCAAGCTTTTCTGTCAAAGTCATGTTTTCTGTCTTTTCCTCTCCCGCAGGGGATTGATGAGACCTCCAGTAAAGACAAGTGAGGACTGACTCTTGATGCTAACACTTTTGTGAAACCTCCTGTATTGCTTATCTGCACTTCTTTAACCCCATTATCTTTATGTCTTTTGCAGCCGGGGTGTTCAGGAGGCCATGAATCCTGAGGATGAAGTGGATGAATTTCTTGGGCGAGCCATTGACGCTCGCAGTATCGACCAGCTGAGAAAAGACCACGTTAAGAAGTTTCTGCTCACCTTCCAGACCTCAAGCCTGGAGAAAAAGGTTCAGACATCCCTGATTACTACTGTCTGTTCTTCTTAAATATAGATCACACTAATGGAGGGAACATGCTGCTGATCACATCTGACTATTTTCTTTTGCTTTTTTTCTTGTTGTAGTATTCCAAAAAAGTGGACGATCGTTTTGGAGGTTATGTCGCCTGTACTCTCCTAGTGTTCTGCTTCATATCATTCATACAGATTGTTGTCTTTCCACAGTGAGTACTACACACATTTACACGCTGTACATCCTCCAGTTTGCTATGTTTAAGGTTGCTTTTCAGTGCTGGCCCTAACACACTTTAGCTGGTTACCCTTTGTATTGCAACCCATTCCAGCACCAATCACAATATCCATACACTTGTACTCTTGAAAACTGGCATCCAGCTTTATGTTTAACAGCTTCTCTTTATTTAAACCTGATAAAGGGTTGAGGTAAAGAGCAGGGAGCAACAAAAAAGGGCCTTTTTAAAGAGGTGATGCAGATAAAATAACATTAAGTAACAGGTAAACACACATTTCCTTATTTTTCTTATATTCTTCAACTTTTCTTCCTCACTCATTTCGGGTGCCAGGATGCCCCCTATGGGCGGCAGGTGCCCCTAGCAATAGCCTATACTGCCTTTGCCATGGTCCAGCCCTGCTTTGCTTTTGCATCTGTTGTTTGGTTCATTTGGTCTTCAGTGTGTAAAAAAGGTTAATAGATGCCCTTCATCCTGCTCCAGTTCTTGTAAATTCTGATTTCTCGAAGTTGAGCAGTCATTTATTTTTGCCTTTTATGGTGGTGCAGAAAGTCAGCAACTCAGACTACTTCAGCCTCTTTGTTTTTTTAATTATTTTTGTTGAAAAGCTATCAAAAAAATATTGCTCATGAAAATAGTTGAAATAGTGACTAACATCCTTAATGTTTCTCTATTCATGTATTTCTTTACTCTCTTTTGCAGCACCCCGGTCATGCTGGGAATCTACATCAGTATCTTCATTATACTTGCCAACATCCTTTTCATCTGTGCCATTTATTCATGCATTAAGGTAAAACAGCTACACACAAACATCATTTTTTTTTTTTAAATACATGCTTGCATTTCCTGTATTTTTAAATGTATTTCTCACTTTTATTTCCTCTTGCAGCTCTTTCCTGCTGCAATGCAGACTGTTTCAAAGAAGATTGTCCAGTCTCGCACCAACAGCACCCTGGTCGGAGTATTTACCATCATCCTTGTTTTCATCTCTGCCTTTGTTAATATGGTGAGTGACGGCTAACCCAAACAAAGATGCAGTGTAGCCACACGGTACACCAACCATTCATATTGTAAGGCATGCTGACAACATTCTCGTGTGTTAATCTGCAGTTCGCCTGTGACACCAAGAGCTTGGCTCAATGTGTTGCTGAGAAGCTGAACACCTCCACACACCTGGTGACGCCCTGTATGATCCGCAGCTTGAATGTTTCTGTTGAAGGGGGTCTAGAGATCTGTCCTAGCCAAGGCCCCTCGTGCCCCTTTCCCGAGGTGAGTTCATTGTTAGGGCACCACTTCACTGTTTGTGTTTCCTACGCAACTGGTTGAAGCGTTTCAAAGAGAGAATGTCACATTTGCATTTGTGTTTTTGTGAGATCCATTGATGATAAACACCCCTTTGTGACGGCACTCTCTCCTTTTTGTGTCAGTATTTCAGCTACAGTGTGCTGCTGACGCTGCTGGCCTGCTCGGTTTTCCTGCAGATCAGCAGCATAGGGAAGCTGGTCCTAATGCTGCTCATCCAGCTCACCTTCCTGCTGCTGGTGGAGTGGCCACAAGTAGCACTATTCGACAACGCAGACCTCTTTGTCACCTCAAATGCCATGTAAGTGCTACAGGCTGGATGCTAATATAGAGTAATGCCACAGGATAATATTGTACGTGTTACCTTTGAATGTAGCATGGGCACTGAATGTAATACTAGAGCAATATGTATTTACAGCACCAACTGTCAGTTTTCTATCAGGGGAAACAACATTTTTTCTTTTATTGCTTGATTTGAACATCTTGACATTTTCTACTCAAAAATATTAAACTTTTCAAAAGTAAGAAGAATTTTATTCAGGCAATCCGTAGGCACTAAAATTTGGCACATTTTTTTTAACGATAAAATGTTTTTAAAACATTTTTTTATTCCCCCTGAGTTTTAGAAAATGTATTGAAAGAAACAGAAGACAGCCTTGTATGGTTGTTTCAAAATATGTGCCTAGAATTTAAAGAAAACTATTCATATAAAAAGTTGTAATTTTTCAACCAAAAATTAAGATATAAAATAAAAATATCACAGATTCTTCTAACAGTTTTGTTTTTCTCTTTCAGTGATTTAAATGAAACTAGTGCTCAATGGTAAGAAGTAAACTATTTGTTTTAAGATTAAAAAAGAAACACAGCTGATACAATAAGATAACAATGACTATCTGCTTCTGTAATGACCCGAATCTGTCTTTTATGTTTGTACCTTTAGGTCCAGTTTCAATGAAACTTCAGAACAGTGGTAAGAATACATTTAGTGGAACATTTAAAGTATTTGATCTTCTTTTCTATCATTTTATATTTTTATGGTAATTTCTACTTTATTAATCTGTCTACGTTCCCGCACACTTTTGCAGCCCAATATTTGTGACCAAAGTGTCCCTGAGGGTCATGACACCAGTGATCCTCACTGTCTTTGTCCTGGCACTGTACCTGCATGCCCAGCAGGTCGAATCTACTGCACGCCTTGACTTCCTGTGGAAATTACAGGTATAAACATTATCCACTAGAGGGCGCCATCACTTCATATAAATTACTAGCTGCTGTCTTCACAGTCTTGCAAACAGCCTTTAAGTTGTCCAACAAAATACAAGATGACTAATCTAATGTGTTTAAATATACTATCTGCAGTCTGGTTTTGGTGATAGATAACCTCATTAATAATAATGAATATATTATCTAACAAAGTGCCTCTACTCCCAGGCCACAGAGGAGAAGGAGGAGATGGAGGAACTGCAAGCCTACAATCGTCGCCTCCTCCATAATATTCTACCGAAGGACGTAGCTGCTCACTTTTTAGCACGAGAGCGGCGTAATGACGAGCTGTACTACCAGTCCTGTGAGTGCGTTGCCGTCATGTTCGCCTCCATCAGCAACTTCTCCGAGTTCTATGTGGAGCTGGAGGCCAACAACGAGGGAGTGGAGTGTCTCCGGCTGCTCAATGAGATCATTGCCGACTTTGATGAGGTAAAATTGGTGTTGACCCTGGATTCGGGTCCGTGCTCTGTGTCCTTTCCTGCATGTCTTTCCCCCCTCTCTCTCCTCCCAACCACTGTCCCATCTCTAAAAATAAAGACATAAAAAGCCCAAAAACTAACATTGGACAGGACAAATCGGCGAGGATATGAGAGGTACCGATTTGTCCACATGGGGGCGCCAAAACAACACCTCTTTGGTAAAAGAGCCAAAGCTCAAATATTTCAGTGTCACTCATAGAAACTGCCTTAATGACTGACTTTTGGTTAGAAAAGTACAAAAAATCATTTCCTAATCTTTTACAGACTGAGATAGAAGGTATTTTATGAGGCTGTCATGAAACGTGGATTCTTTTGTCAAAACAAATTTAATATTCTGCTCCTGTTTTTGTAAAGCTCAGTGTGTCTGCAGGTATCTCCCTCTGTGTAAGTCAGATCTAACCTTTGTTTGCAAACTGTACAAATGTCATTACCATCTGTTCTCAGATCATCAGTGAGGAGAAATACAGGCAGCTAGAGAAGATCAAGACCATTGGCTCCACTTACATGGCGGCCTCTGGTCTCAATGACTCCACCTATGACAAGGAGGGCCGTTCTCATATCACTGCACTGGCAGACTACGCCATGAGGCTGAGGGAGCAGATGAAATACATCAACGAGCATTCCTTCAACAACTTCCAGATGAAGATAGGTAAGGCTACATGTTGAATGATACAAATATGTATTTTTAAAAGTCCTTATTCATCTTTGTGTAGTAAACGGGCAAAGGAAACGTACTGTTGATGCAGAGAAATGTTTTTCCCTCTTATTTCCAGGTCTGAACATCGGACCAGTGGTAGCTGGGGTTATCGGTGCACGGAAACCCCAGTATGATATCTGGGGGAACACAGTCAATGTGGCCAGTCGTATGGACAGCACAGGTGTACCTGACTGTATACAGGTAGCATTTCTTTGACTACTACTAAAATGTAAAAATAATCCTAATTAAGTATTTAAAGAGCAACTTTGAATAAAACTTTGTGAGGTCAAGCCTTCAGTCAGACTATTTGAGTCTGTATTATATTCTAATCACGACAACATAATTTGAAATTTAATAAGCACATTACAATGAGCTCTTACCAAAACCAACATTATGAAATGCTTGCCAAAACATAAAAGTCCAACAATAAAATATGTAACAATAAAGGAATAAAAGCAGAAAAAAAAGCATAAAAGAGGTACAACTTAAAACAATGGCTGAATGAAACAACAAAAGATAAATGACTTATAATAAATAAAGCACCACTACCAACATTTACAAGAAGTTAATTTGAGAAAAAAGACTTCATGACAATGCCTAACAACGGTCTTTTATAAGTTCGTCCTTTTAAAGGTTTTATTTTGACGAGTAATCCAGGATTGTTTATTTTGGCTATGATGTTCATGTTTTAATGATGTATACTCCCATTAAATTAAGTCATTGAAGTTTTAGAACATTTTTGGGCAGCACACCAAACCTTAACCTTAACCCTTAACCCTTTGAATATTGATCTTGACGATATTGAGAGCATCTTGAAGTTAGATATTTATTCTAATTATTTTTGTAAAACAGCGACTGAAGGTTTTTTTTGCCATTCAAACCCACAGGAGAAATGTATTCTCGTAAGAACTAAAATGTGAAAAAATATCAAAATGAACATCAGGAAGCTTAAAGAATAAGTCTCTGACTCAGCTAGATTGTGTGCACTATATTCCAGGACACACAAATTGGGCTCCTTTTTCTACATGGATCAGCCATAGCATTATGACCCCTGACAGGTTAGGTGAAAGAAATTGATCATCTTGGAACAATGGCACCTGTCAGTGTGTGGAACATGTTAAGCAGTAAGTGAACATTTTGTCCTTGAAGTTGACGTGTTGGTTGGGTAAGAGCCACTGTTGCTCAAATAGCTGATAAAGTTAATTCTGGTTCTGACAGGAAGGTGTCAGAACACACTGTGTCTTTACAGGTCAGGGCTTGTATGGCAGCAGAAGTGGGACATTATATTTATTCAATTCCGTTTTATTTGTATAGCACATTTCATACAAACACAAACTCAATGTGCTTTACAAAAGACAAAGATACACAAACAAGATACCTGTTCCTATAGAGTGCACACAGGGACCAAAGATTATATTAGGCAGGTGGTCATAGTGGTCATAGTGTTATGTCTGATGGTTGTATTTTGTCAGCTAAGTGTTTTTAAAGCTTATTATAAACTTGCCTCTTCTTGTTCTTCATTCTGCTTACAGGTGACTACAGACCTCCATCAGGTGCTTGCGGACAAAGGGTATGTGCTGGAGTGTCGTGGGGTGGTAAAGGTGAAAGGTAAAGGGGAAATGACAACCTACTTCCTGAATGACGCACCGCCCAACAGTTAGCAGCCGTGGCAGCAGCAGATGTCTGGGTGATCCCTCTGCAAGGACACAGCAGCACTGAGCAAAGGACTCACAGTGCAACGAATGGCTGAAAACTAGATATGCCATCACTTGAATCCCAAGCAAAGAGGAAAAAAAACTTCAAAGACTTCAAAAGGAAAAGTGTTCTTGATGAGAGGAAAATGTTCTCTGTGGACAGCCATTTTGGCCCACATACATGTGGAAGGACAAGTGTTTTTCTCATGTCTAGCCTCTCTCTCAGGCTTCTTGAAAGATGCAAAGTCTGTTTATTTAAAACAAACGCCTTTTAGCCTGTGTCAAATGAAGATTAACGCTGTACATAAGGCTACATTTTTTTTGTGTGTGTGTGTGTTTTTGTTTCCTGTAATTTTTATTTCACATGAATAATGAACAGGTACTCATATTTTGTTTCCGGATTTAACTATTTATTTTGATCTCAATGTTTTGTGCAAAAGGTCCTTTATGAAAAAGTGTGAATACATACGTGCACAAATATCCAGTTTATTACACGTTTATAAGTGTGTATGTACATGCATATTTGTGTGTGTATAAATATATGTATAAACTGAGGAGAAATATATTGACCAAAGACTAAAGTATTTACTAAAAGCAAGGCAAGACATGTTTGATATGTTCTCGCTAAAGTCAGCAATGATCACCGCCTCTGTTTTTTCTGCAGAAGGCCTGAACCCTCTTTTTGCCCGACTGCTGGCAGCAAAGACTGCTTCGTTGTTTTCATAGAGTATGTGAGATTTATTTATTTTGTCTATCATTCAGGCAGCAAGGAGCTGATCACTTTAATTAAAAACTATATTACCCCAACCTCAAAACAAAATTACTTAAGACGACTAAGGATGTTATTTGAAGGTGATATCGGAAAGATATATTTTTGACCTCTGAGGAGTTGAAGAAGCTCCAGTCGGGATGATCCTCGTTTTTATGTCAGATTGGTTCCTTAGAGCTTCAGCAGCGCATGGACAGCTGGTCTCAGTTATAATAGTATCATCGACTGCTCCTTCCCTTTCACAGAACTTTTTTTGTTTGTTTGTTGCAAATGGAAATGAAGGAACGTAAAATCACCTAGTTGTCCCAGAGCCATCAGGGGAAAAGCTGGGATTTCAGCGCAGTGGTACCACAGAGCTTGATTCTTCCATGAAGAAGAAATAAATGAAGGAAAGAAAAACATATTGATTTTGACTGAATACTGTGCTTTGTAATCCTGAAGGGGCATAACTTTTTTCACTGTGAGGTTTTTATGAGACAACAAAAACTGCTTTCTTGCCAAACATAACCGCTTTGAAGCATGTCTGATTGTGGTATCTTGTTTTCATTTTTGTTTGTTTTAACGTAGGGTATTTTGTATCACTTATGTATCCATCATTTGTATATTCTTAATGTTATTATTATTATTATTATTATTATTATTATTATGAAGATTCTGATTAATTATTATGCTTATTATGATGATTCCATTCCAATGAAAAGGATCAAAGACCAGCACGCTTTCTTGTGAAATGCCAGTCGTAAAGCTCAAGCTCACTGGTACCAACTGATCAACTGCAGCCAATGAATCCTGCTGTTCAGTCCCAATGTACATTACAGTGCGTCAATTGGTGATATGTGTGATCATGTATAGGAAGTAATAACCAATAGCTGCCTTTGCAGCAGAACCTGAGCAATGTATGCTCACATCTGAATCGCAGTATACACACACACACACACACACACACACACACACACACACACACACACACACACACACACACACACACACACACACACACATTTACAGGTGATTCACTGTGCTTTTTTTTTATTTATGCCACTACTGCAGTATTGTAAATCTCAGAAAGACTTTAAAGGTGACGTCTACTTTCCACACATAAACTTCTCAGCACTTAGAAATGACATCCCTGGTGTTCAAGCGTTGTAAGGGAGGACAAGGCAGAAGGAACTAACATGCATTTATTGTATCCTATCACCCTGACACTCAGTCTTACAGTACTAATAGCTGAGTTTGATTGCCTTAAGTTATTAAAAAAAAACGAATCATGAAATAACACTGAACAGGAACTGTGCCTGCTTGCCCTGAATGGACTGCTGATGTTTTGGTCAGAGAGGGACATGGATAAGGGCATGTCAAAGTAACCTTCAGTTAACATTCTCATTATTTCAGTGATCTCCCGCTTCAACTTTTATAATTGGGAGAACTCGGCACTGATTTTAGCTCTTTCTGCAACACTCAACAATGGCAATCAACAGTTGATCATGTTTGTACCAAAGCCAGCTCATGCAGCCTTGTGCTAATTGGTCCCTCCTGTGCAATGATATTTGGCCTCAGGCGTGTTGGGAGCACCAGAGGACAATAATGTAACGGAGATCACCAACTTTCAAACAAACTGTGACCAATGAAGAGTGATTCATGCAAGCAAAGAGGTTATAGAATGGACTTGAGTTTATCAAAATGTGCATTGTATGTATTCTATTTCTATTGGCTGTCCATAGACTTGTGTTGATTGTTAACTCTTGGGATGTTTTGTGGGAGAACAGGAGAGGGGAGGAAGGTTGTCCCCATACTACTGAAACAGTGTTTTGCTCAGGCCTGATGAATCCTTCCGTATTTGTTTTTGTTTTATTTGTATTTTCCCTGAGTTGGAGAGGTTGAAAGGGGAGTGTTCTGCAAAGTTGAAAGGCAAGAAGAGTTGAGGACTATGACAAAGAGAAAAATAAAAATTTCCCTTGAAGAAAAAATAAAATGGCTGTTATGTGTGTTTATTCATTAGTGATGCTTTAAAATTGACTGCAGATGTTTTAGCGTGGCCTGTGGGAACAGAAACACTTTATGCTCACAGTAAAACCATTGTCAAGTGTCTGTCACCATGTCCTTTTCTGGAAAATACTAGCTGGAGTCTCAGGAGAACTTTGAGCCTTTCATGAAGGCCATCAGTCTCCCTGATGAGCTCATCCAGAAATGCAAAGACATCAAGAGCATATCTGAGATTGGGGAGACTGGTGACAACTTCAAAGTGATGGTCACAACCGGCAGAAATTAGGGGAGGCTATGGCTCAGTGGTAGAGTCATTGGTCTCTCAACCTAAAGGCATGGGTCAACACACTTTCACTCAAAATATCAATCATGTCGCAAATCTATCCTTTTCCATTTAAAAACATGTCATCAAAATTTGGGTCAGGTCTGGGGTCAACAATTTGTCATCAGAATATTAGACAGGTCCACAGTAAACATTTTTTCCTTCAAAATGAGCAACAGGTTCGGGGTCAGCATTTTTATAAATCGAAATATACAACAGTTCCTTGAGTAAAAATTTTGGAAATAGATTATTAAAATAATTCGGAAACTACAAAAACCATGATCCCATCTGACCCGAGAATATGGATTTTGGGAGCTATACAACGTTTTAATGAGTCTCACTGTAAAAAAAATGTCATATATGTGTATTTTACAGAATTGGAAATCAGAGCTTCCTCCATCACAGAGACAATGGCTAAATTAATTAACAATCTATAGCACACCTGAAAAAATCGTATTTAATGTGAGGAGGAATCCAGAAAAATATGAGAAAATATGGGAGTCCTTCCTGGCTCTACTGCCATCATTACATCCACCTAACTAGTGAGTCAATATAAAACCTGCCACTTCCCTTGTTATCCTGTCTACCTAATGTCTGTGACATTTATTTTGTAAACACTTGGGACCTCATGCCCTACTTGATTGTATTGTATTTTATTTTGTTTTTTAATTGTTACCATGGGAGAATGTAGCTAATGTATTTAATTATTTATTTTTACCATACTGGGTATGAGGGTGGGGGTGGTGAGGTTGCTCTGTTCGATTGTGTTTGTTTTTCTGTCTAAAAATTCAGGTCAACATTTTTTCAAGAAAAATTTCGACAAGTTCTGGTTCAACATTTCTACATGAAAATGTTGGTCAACATTTCTACATGAAAACTTTTGACAGGTCCAGGGTCAACATTTCTTTCATGAAAATTTTAAACAAGTCCGGGGTCAACATTTTTTCATAAACTTTTTCGACAAGTCCCGGTTAAATATGTTTTTTTTAAAATGTTCGACAAGTCCGGGTCAACATTTTTTCATATATTTTTTTGACAGGTCCGGTGTCAACATTTTTTCATCAAGATTTTGGTCAACATGTTTTCATGAAAATTTTCTTCTGGGGTCTGCATTTTTTCAAGAAAAATTTTGTCATTTTTGAAGCCAATATTTTTTCATGAAAAATTTTGACAGGTCTGGGTCAACATGTTTTCAGGAAAATTGTGTTAAAAAAGGTGTTAATATTTTTTCAAGAAATTTTTTATCAGGTCAACATTTTTCATGAGTTCAGAATCATTATTTATTGCCAAGTACATTTACAAATTCAAGAATTTGACTTGGTGATTTGGTGCAAAACAATTTGCAAAGGAAATAAAGCAAAAATAGCAAGAAATTAAATAAAGATAAAAAAGAAGCAATTACAAATATATAAAACAGAGTATAAAGTACAAATATTAGTCTTTCCCATCATTTGTATTCTGTACATTGTTTGCTGAATTTCTAATAACATATCTGTTCTACAGTACTGTCTGAGTTACTGTGTTGAATACTTAATAATGATGAACTGGATACAGAACATATTACTGTTCATAGTGGTCTTATTTCTTCTAGCCACTGTACAGCGACACACAATTGCTATCATTTCACCTTTGTATACTGAAAGTCTGCCATTTAATCTTTTACTTCTTTAAGTGTTGAATTCCGGGATTATGAAAGCTGCACCTCCTTTATTAACCATGTTCTTTGAGGCATCAGTGTAAATTTGATTAAATTCATAGTACTGGTTTCTTATATATGACTGAACTGTTTGGATGTTTAAAATTAGCTTTTCCTTTTTATGTTAAATCAACAATGCGGTCAGGAAGTATCCATGGCTGCAAAACTGAGAGTGGTACCATTGGACTAATGTTCATTCCATCTATTACTACTTCTTTTGTTTTATTATTATTAATTATTCACCCCAAACTTTTAATCTCTCTCTTCTCCTTTTCCCAGCATGGTTTTAATGTATTTTGTGTTGGATGATTCTCATTATGTCCTTTAAAATTAATCCAGTACTATCCAGTAGTTTACTGACTAAGATCCCTTCACTGTTCCAGAGGAATTTTCTCCATCTCTACCTGTAAGGCTGAAGTAAGAGTTGTTCTAATTGCACAATTGATTGTCGCTGCCTCATATTATTTTATTACTCTCCAAGTTCAAGAGAAGTTGGGATAAATAATAGAACTGGAAAATACTTTCTCCACCCAAGAGCATGTTAATTTTTCAAGATTCACTTTTGTTTAGATCGGTTTCCTGGTGAACGGCCATGTCAACTTTGGATGATTTTAGATATGTTTAAATGTTTTCTTTTTTTTAATAACATGGTTAAGTCCCTTAAGATTACAGCTGTCTTATTTTAAATCAGCTATATTGGTCATAACAGAACTAAGAGGCCACTTATCTTGCATGGACTGTATGTGTAGTAAGGAAAATGGTCCAGTGTAACATTAATGTCCTAAAAGAATAGGAGTTCTGGTTAACGGTATACAAACTCTATAAAAAAAACATCAAGAATTAATGAGCTGGGATGATAAAACATTAAGCAAAACATAGACATAGTAACTAGGAAACATAAGAGAATCACCCACAATCAACTTTCCACTAACCCAACACTTAAACTAGAAGGCACCCTACTGATTAATTTGGTGGGAATACATGGATTTAGATGAGGCCTATGGTCGGCCCCTGCTGGGTGGCAGCTATCATTACAGTTATACAGTAATCTGCCACTCATCCCAAAGTTGTTTTCGAGAATTTTGACCTTGTGTATCACAGGCTGGTGTAGTAGATAAAACAATTGATATTTCCCAATTTCAAAATCAAACTTTGGTAGCAATATAAGGTCTTCATAACACTATTTATGAGGACCTTTGCTTAAAGAATTCTGAAAGGTATTGATAATGGTAACCTGAAGAGTTTCATAGATTAATACAATCAGACTTCTTTGTAACTAAGTTTTAAAAATAAAGAAGTGAAGTTCTGTAAAGGCAGTCAGAGCCCTAGAAAGTTATCCCCCAAAGATGGGCCTGCTTAAATGTAATCTCTGAAAGTCACATAAAATAGTCCTTCAAATTTGTCAACGTGACTTTTATGTGTTTGAAAAAGGGAAATGTCGTGCACTATCAGAACAGGATGAATTCCCGGTCTGCCAATGACATTTCTTTCACAAACCTGTGAAAGAAAGAATTGGATTACACTCACTGAGAATAAGATTATGCTTTAAAAAATCCTTAATTTATTACTGGAAAATGTTACCCACTTTGTCATCTCGCTGTTCTTTCGAGGAAACCGCCTGACTTCGGTCCATGGCTCGGGACATTTTGATGACATCCATCCATACTGTTGGCTATCTGTTAGAGGCGTTACGTACAGCTGGTTGGGGGCTGGTGAAGAGGGAAGACTTGTAATACCTGTCACATCTTCTCAAATGAATGTACTTCAGGTCTAATTTTTGTACTTGCCTCTAGGTGTTTGAAGCCGTTTGACCATCTCCTTATAGCGCTCATGGCTTCCATGGTGAATGTCAGTGCTGCTGCGTGCAGGCAGGTGGTTCAATTGGCGTGTTTCTGTACATTTAAGTGATCCCTGTTTTTCTTCAAGAGATGGACACAGAGCTTCTTGGCTGTTAATCCCAACATCTGTAAAGAGATATGTTACTACAGTGTAAATTGATCATTATTTCTATCATATTTGTATATTTGTGGCGTCATCTTGAATTTAACTGAGATTATATATTACTTGGGATTTCATAAAAAATACTGAGATGAAGAATGTTTTATCCAGCATCTAAGAGATGCACTATTCATTTTGACAAAACCAAATAACTAAGGACTGTAGGAATGTAGCTATACATTTTACAATAGAAAAATATCAAGAAATCATAAGGATCCAATTAAGTTATTTTCCTATTTAGAGTTTAAAACTTTGCTGTATGATATCTTACATGAACCATGTAGACCTAAATATTTTATCAACCAGTTGTGTTGTTTATTTTTGTGTTGTTTATCGTCAGCTGCAGCCACACAGAAATGTTGATCTTAATGATAGACCCACTGATTGATTGAATAAAGTTACAAAGGAAGAAAGGTTAAATGTGATTCCCAAAGTAAAAAAAAAAAAGCACAGATAGTCAAACTTACTGTAGCCTAATAGCCTGCTCGTTACTTAGCGCTTCTAAGTTTTAAAGATATTTAAGTAGCCTACTTAAATCAGCATTATTAGGCTCAATATTAGCAGGCTTGAGGTTCTGTTTCCTATTAACTGAAGCTTTCGTTGAAGTAAGGTCAAACAAGCTAAACAAGAGAATTCAAATACTAATTTAGGTAACTGAAACGACGTAAAGGTCCTCTTACCCTGAGAATAAAGCTTTCCTCTCGGATTAACAATCATTTTATCTCCTATTGGGTATTGATAACCAAGGTTGGTCAAACCGAAAAAAGCCATAATAGTGTTTGCTGTTTGATTTAAAACGATAGACAGAGAGAGGCAGGCTGCCAAATAAATCACAATCCGTTTAGGCGTAACCATGGTAGCGGCTATTCAATGTGTCACGTTGAAACTTATGGAACTACACACACGCACACACACACACACACACACGCACGCACACACACACACACACACACACACACACACACACACACACACACACACACACACACACACACACTGGTTTACTGCAAGTAGGTGTAACAGAGTTAGAATGAACCTCTTTTGAATTTCTACAAAATTAATGTGTCTGTCATATTTATGTTACTTTGTTGCCGCCTGGTGGTCTAATAGCGCAACTGTAGGGCTCCTAGCTGGCCACCGCACGTACCTCAGCAAAGGAATCTCTCCTGAGCTGAAGGTGTGTGTGTGTGTGTTTAGTGTCACACAGATGTGAGTCCTTGCAGTTGAATATCAATGCTGATTGTGTGCTTTTGTATTATACACCAGGTAGACATGGTTAAGTTAATTTGACATAAAAAGTGAACTGTAAATTCATGTTGTTTGTGTTAATTGTAAAAAGCTATAAAATGCACTCCATTGATGGTTACGTGTTAAAATGATTTTGGTATGTTTATATACAGATAAAAATGTAAAATGCTCTTATTTGGTACTCAAAGACAAAGTGAAATTCCACAATACGATCACTTGTGCTAAAAATGTATTTAATTGATATGATTTCATGATGCTATGTAAAAATACTTTTAAAAAGAAAAAGGAATCTCTCCTGAGCTGAAGATGTGAGTCCTTGCAGTTGCATATTAATGCTGATTGTGTGCTTTTGTATTATACACCAGAATAAAAAGGAAAGAGATCCAGAGTGAGAGCAACTCCGGCTGTTGTGGCGTTCTTCCTGCACCATAAACATCTGAGACAGACACACACACCCTCCATAGTCCAGCAGAGAAACACATCCGGTTACATAGGCTAAAATAAATAATCTGCCAAAAGTGATTACAAGTAGCCTAATCTGATGACAATTTTCTTATTTTATTTTTTTTTATTCTTATTTTATTATTTCATTTTATTCTTATTTTTTTATTTTATTTTTTTATTTTTTTCTTATTTTTTTTAAAACTATTTTCCGCCTGTTTGTAAACTGAGCACGCTTCATAACAACATATTTTTAACTATTTTTTTTAACAGTAAAAATGTGGCAAAAAGTGGATCGTCTCACCTACACCACACCGCCTTAAAACCTACAGTCTATGCTTAAAACACCACAACCCAGGCGTTGTCATTCTCACTTGTCCCAATAATATGACGCCCATGCATGCAGGGCATTGATAACAAACATCCATTGAAAAAGAAAGTAGGTGGCAGTGTTTGCGTTCACATTATTATTATTATTATTTTTTTACAGTCTGTGGTTCACACCAGCAGGTGGCTCTCACTCCACACTCGACCTCTTCAGTCTGCACACTGTCTCCACTGTCACAGCGAACGAGTTCCGTCACCACAATAATCCACAATGACAGACTCGGGGTCAAAGTTAAAAACATTTAAGTTTTTAAAGATTATTACCAGTAGCCTCCTCCTGACAGTACTGATCTTGTTTACTTTGGCATCTATCAGGACTTTTACACTGGACGTAAATGTCGGACTTCAACTCGCACAGTGGGAAAAGACGAATAATGTGTCGCTCGTCATAGACCACCACCAGCGAGAGGAGCTTCTCGCTAATTTTAAAGGTCGGTTTGAGTGTTGAACGATGTTTACGTCCGTGGGAAGCGGGCTAGAAGAAGTGAGTAGAATGAGCTACCTAGATTACCGAAGATGCAAGTTGCGGTAGGGTTGGTTAACTGTCTGTTTTCATTCATCCAGAGGCCATCCGGATCCCCACAGTGTCATTCTCAGAGACTGAGGGCAACACCACCGCGCTGCGGGAGTTTGACACTCTCCTGCGGAAAGGTGAAGTTGCACTGCAATTTGTCATACGTCCTATATAAGTTATATAGTTAGTTATGAGCGTGTGGTTCATTGCATTTTATTGTATGTATTTACAAAAGCTTGTGTGCTTCAGGCTGTCTCACGACATGACTTAGCTGATCAGCTCAAACTAGTGCATTTTAACCGATAACGTTATCAAACAATCACCGGTTTAACCTAACATTGATTTTCGATGCCGGCGTTGGAGGAAGAGGGGCCCTGCTACTAGCTACGAACACGAGCTAACGTTAGCTAATGTTACACGAAGCTACATGTTATTACTTGTGTATTTAGCCCTAGGTCGCCACCCTCTCATGAATGAGAACTTGTATTTAAAGAATAGTAGAGTCTGCTATGACACAAGTTCAAACTTATTTATTTTTGTCTTGTAAGGAAAGGCTTCTCAATTTTACAAGTTTATATAAATGTGTCAGAAGACTTGAGGTACGACAGTTCAAAGGACAACAAGCTGTCATGTGACTGTAAAATGCAGGTTTTCTTTTTTACATTTAATATATTTGTATATAGGCTATTGTATATTTGTGATACGGTTTTCAATAGGGGTGAAACTGGAATTCAAAAAGTGATCTAAGAATGATCAGAAGATCTATATTTCATCATATTTTTGTTGTAATGGTCTGACAGTTTCATCTCTTTATATTGTATACAAAGTCATACAAGTTAAAAGCTCAGTTTCTACTCATGTTTTCAAGAACAATGTACATGTAGAATCATGTTTTTTATGAACTCAAATGAGATAATTTTTCAAATGTGCTAGACTTTGAAGCAAAAGGTGGCTGTATGTCTTTTAGTCCTAATAGTTGATTTTAGTGCAAGTCCAATACTGCAGATTATTTTTTGAGATCTCAGGGAAAGTCTAGCCGTGACAACAACTTCTAGGTCATTCTTAGAGTTTCTGTATATGTGTAATGTTGTTTTCATAGGTTGAGCATTAAACTGGCATTATTGTGAAATTTTGGAGGAAATCCCCTTTAAACTTTTATTCTTTTTTTTTGCCTCAGCCTTCCCAACAGTTTTTTCTTCGAGCTTGGTTCATCATGAATTGGTAGCCAACTACAGCCATCTCTTTTGGGTGCAAGGGTCAAACCCTGACCTGGTGCCATACCTTCTGCTGGCACACATCGATGTTGTACCTGCCTCAGAGTCTGATGGTTGGGAGGCCCCACCTTTTTCTGCCAAGGAGATAGATGGCTTCATCTATGGTAGAGGAACCATAGATGACAAGAGCCCAGTAATGGTCAGATAATAAGTGATACTTTGTTTGATCTTGCTGTAATTCCGAGTTTTGATAAATATTTGATTGACCTTTCATGTCCCAGGTCGATTTAACAGTTATACTTCTTGTCTTCCAGGGAATACTTCAGTCACTGGAGTACTTGCTGATTAAAGGCTATGCTCCACGCAGAGGATTTTACATTGGTCTTGGTCATGATGAAGAGGTAATTAAACTTTTCATTTTTTTTGGATATTCATAAAAATGTATCTTTTTGAATTTGTCATCTCAATTAATATGAAAATAAAAATATCTAAATGTCTGAGTCATTGAATTTTTCCTTTAAAGGTCGGTGGTTACAAAGGGGCTGTTAGCATAGTACGGTTAATGAAGCAGCGTAATGTGCAGCTGTCGTTTGTCATGGATGAGGGCCTAGCTATACTCGATGGGGTCATCAGTGGACTTGATGGACCTGCAGCTCTGTGAGAACCCTTTTAATTATCTAGTGCACCAAATTTGGCTTTACAATTAGTTCCAGGCTTTTTGCATATACACTACATTTTTTAAAATTAACAAATATAAAGACGGCAGATCCACATTTGATTTAATTTCTGTTTTCTCTTTATCTCTGGTCACACACTTGTAGAATTGGAATAAGTGAAAAAGGGTCTGCCACTGTAAAGCTTAGCGTGTCTATGGCCCCTGGTCATTCCTCAATGCCTCCCCGGGAGACCAGCATTGGGATCTTGGCTGCAGCAGTCAAAAGGTGGGTGGACATGTTACAATACGTTTAAAATGTGTACCTCTTTGTGAAAAATAAGACAAAATCCAAACCTTTGACTGTGTCATGCCTTCAGATTAGAAGAGAACCCCATGCCGAGATTATTTGGTCATGGGCCTGAACGTGGTACCTTTGAGCATCTCGCCCATAAGGTAAGGGGGAACTAGCTACTGGTCCTGCTCACATATTAGATCTTTTTTGTAACAAACGTTTTCATTATTTGCCTGTAGTTCAAGCTCCCCATGAAGTTCATAATGTCCAATTTTTGGCTGTTTTCCCCACTCCTTGGAAGGTAATTGCATCCTTAAATTCATTGAGCATGTTTCTCTTTTGTCTGTATGGATAAATCAGTTAGTTTGTTTTTCCATCACAGGGTACTTGAAAAAAAATCTGACACTAATGCTTTTGTAAGGACAACCACAGCAGTAACAATTTTTAAATCAGGAGTTAAGGTACAGATATTAATCATTTTAATGAATAACATTGAATTATTATTAAAAAAAAGTTAGGTTGCAAGAAATTGATTTTTTTCAGAAGAAAAATCCTGATATCTTACTTATGTGTAGGTGAATGTCATCCCTTCCCTCGCTGAAGCTTATGTTAATCTTCGAATCCATTCAGCACAGACACTACAAGAGGTACATTTATATTCTCGTTTTGAAATATTGCAGATTTCTCACTAAGAATATTCTGTGTTGAATAAGATGTTTGCTGTGTGGATTAGGTCCTGGACCTCATCCAGTCTACAGTGGGGGATGAGCGAGTGAAGATGGAGCTTGTTGATGGGTTTGACCCTCTGCCTGTCAGCTCTTCTGATGAAAAGTCCTTTGGCTTCCAGATCATTAAGAAGACAGTGTTGGATATGTTTCCCTCTGTAACAGTTGCTCCAGGTATTAATTTATGATAATGGGATTAAAAGATAATAATACATATAAAAATATTTCTTGTTTTGATAAATTAAATGCTTTTGTTATGCAGGTATCTGTATCGGGAACACAGACAGTAGACACTTCAAGGACCTGACCAATGATATTTATCGCTTTGCCCCTATCTGGTTTAAACCAGGTGATGCTCAGAGGTAAGAATCATTTTGTTATTTGCATTTTAAGAATTTCTTATGACATTTAAAGAGACCATTAAAGCACAGAGGAAAAACAAATAGACAAACAATACACAAACCAAAAAAAACAAAACATAAATAAATAAAAAGGAACAAAAACAAGCTGGTCACATAAGTCTCAGATACAGTAGCTGATCAATGTCTGATACATTTATAGGATTTAGGTAGAGGATTACAATATCATTAGTGTATGAAAGGCAACAATGTATAACTTCATGTGCCTACAGATATATCTCGACATACATGCACACACATCTTAATTCATATTTTTAGTTCATACACACATCTGTAAATATACATACTTTAAGGGAAATTACTAACACATTTAATAACTTAATATCATTTAACCAGAGGGTCATTAAAGGTGTCATGTACCTCTACCATTTTTCCCATCTCTTTTTTTAAAATATGATTGTGATTCCTAATTCTCATGGTATTTTTTTCCATTACATATATTTAATTTACAAGATCCTTCTATTTTGAGTTAATTAAATTGTTGTCTTTTATCCAACTCTTTGTTATTTGTTTAATAATTACTGCTCGAATCGCCAAAAAACAAGTTCGAATCTTTCTTCATTATCCCTTCTGGTAATTTCCCTAATAGTAAAACATGTGGGTTTTTATTTAAAGGTAAACCAACAATATTTGAAAGTTCTCTGTTAGAGTTTTCCCAAAATCCACTTATAACTTTACAGGACTAAAATATATGACTGTGGTTTGCCATTTGCTTGCCACATTGTCTCCAACATCTTGGCGTGATGTTTGCTTTGTACTTAGCTTGAATTTAGGGGTGTTTTAAAGAGTCTGTTCTTCCACATAAATTCTTTCCAATAGTTTGAGTTTGTTTGAATCCAGTACACCTTAGAGCTGAATAACACTGAACACAGCCTGCTGCAGCTTTACAATAAACTGCTTCTTCAAAGTAATATCTGACAAACTAGAAGGCATCTTCTCCAACAAAAGAGAGCCTTTTTCTGCTGTTGTGATGAAACAGTGTAACCTATTTTGGCTGTTCAAACATCAAGTTTCCCTTGAACAAATACAGTAAGAAGAGGTTTATGTAAAGAAGCAACCTTTTGCCCAGTTAATCCCTTAGCTTTGGTGAGGAATAAGCCGCTGGGAATTGAATTTAGAAAAGGGACATTTACTTTTTAAAAGACCTAAAGAACGTTTTTTTTCCCTTTTTCATAGATTCCATGGCATCAATGAAAGAATTTCCAAAAAGAACTACGAAGAGCTTGTTGTATTTTACTTCAATCTTATACAAAACTGTGACATTCAAAAGCTCCCTGAGCCTCACAGCTCAGTCCATGAACTTTAAAGAATGGAACAATGTGGGTAATTGATGGCTGATTTTTCTAAAAGCCTTCATTATTGTCATTTCAAATAATTTCAACACCACCTGGCAGCACCTGGCTGTATGTTGTTGTTTATTTTTGATCAGTGTTTTTAAAAAGATATTGAATTCAAGAGCCAGAAAGTGAAATTATTTGCTCTGAGTTGTGCTTTGAAATGATCCCAATTATGGGAATGAAATGACTGAAATCCTTTTTGAAGTTGTGAATAAGATTAGCAGCTGACTGCCTGAGATGATTTTTGACAGTGAAATAATAATGTTACAATTTAATAAACTGACGAATGAATCTTTTTACGTACTTAAATCTTGAAAGTAATGGTACCTATCTTAGAAGGAATGACATGCAAAATATTTTTTGGCTACTCATAACAAACTCTATAAGTCTTCTTCTTAACGTGGGGGCTTATGTTTATAACTGCATGCTGAATTAAGAATAAATAAGCTCTTCAGAAGAGTTGCCACAAACTCTAAAAAGATAAACAATTAGAGTTTCTTATTTAAGAATCTCACTGAGGTGTCCAAAAGTTCCAACAATCTATACAAGTACAAGTCAAGCAACTATCTTAAATCAATGCCAGAAGAGGCTTGAATCAGAAAGGTACTCAGGTTTGGATCATTATCTGAAGCAGGACCTCTGCTCTTTATTTTGACCATCAGGGACAGGAAAACCTATATGGATGAAGACAACCCTTCTTGTTTGACACATTTAGTATTTTTGGAAGTAATGCAGAATCTCTCAAGAATTGTCAGACAAAACATATTAAATTAATATGTGGAAAAACCTTATACAGTAACACTAGTGCTTTGGCGATAAAGGCAATTTCTGTCTCTTTCTGCTGTGTTTGATTTTTAGTTGACATTGAAGAGCATATTGCAGGTTCAGTATTTTTTGTAAATTGACACTTAACATTATCTGATAATGGCTGTAGAATAAGTCCATTCTTGATTTGATATGTTCTACAACACAAAAGGGCAAAAATTAAGAGGAGAAAGTGGCCGTTTTCAGTATAGCTATTTAGAACGCTCTTTTTTTCAACATCGTAAAATGGGCGCTCATGTTCTCTGACTCTTTGGCTTTTATCCAATGTGCAGAAGGTGGTAGTGAGTGATTTGTTCTTATTGTGTTTCTTCCGTTGTATTACATTTAATTTGACTAGTCATTAAGATGGTTAAATATTGCGTAGTAATATAATAATATTAATATTATCAAATAAAAATGTTCCTTGAATACAATAAAAGAGAGAGAGAGAGAGGATGAGCAGGGTTAAGAGGGACAGACAGTCATCATCAGTGAGATGAGAAAAAGGTGAACTGGCAGCTCTTTAACGCTATTTTAATGCAACATAAACTATATCGAAATTAACAATATTGTCTTACCCTATATCTTGTTTGAAAATCTATCGATATATCGCTCCCTCTGGCAGAAGCAAACAAGGACCTGTCAGAGATTCAGCCAGATGGAAACGTGAGCTGAGCACGGTAAGTCTTGGGTTTTGTTTTCTGACTCCAGATTAGTGGATATACAAATTTCAATAGGTAGAATAACGTTTGCTTAATACATAATTATTAATAATATCATCGAAGTCTTCAAGTTCACGGTGTCATGGCATCAAGGACGCGGGAAGTAGGCCTAGGGGTGCTGAGGGTGCTGCAGCACCCCCTGAAATCAGGGACAATTGAAACCATCAGCTATAAGAATTAAAAAACTACAGTTTACTCCGTTATATGTGATGTGTGGATGTAGTGGCCAACACCAGCATGTGCGATTACTTGTTTTGTCCGTAACTAAAATGTCTGGATCTTGTTTATAATAGGCGAGAGAGAGAGAGAGAGAGCTATACGAGCGAGTCGGGGAACGTGTCAGTGCTCATGTTGCACATATTGCGCACAGATAAAAAACAAAAGGTTAAATTGATAATCCGCTCTACAGTTTACAGGTTTTGCCAGTAAAGTATATGAAGTACATGGCAGACTGCAGTCTCTGTTAACACACTGTTGCTGTCCAAACTGCTCCAATGTGAGCTGAGTGCTTATCTGTCTGTCAGTGCGTCAGCGCATCATCCTCCCTGCTCTGTTTATTAAAAATCTATAAACTGATCATAAGCCACGTCTGAACTTTCAGTGTGAGGTTTGATGTCTATTGAAAAGAGTTCAACTGGTAAGCCACTTTGTGATTGTGTTTATTTATTTTTCTAATTGTCCTCCATTGAAAGCCTTTATAAATCCCCCCTCTTCTGGAAACTGTCTCCTGATGGCAGACACAACACAGGAAGGTACAGGCCTCCTAATGTGTCTTCCCAGAAAGCCATAGGCCCAGCGGATCACCTGCCTGTAACCTGTGTAATCATATCGCCTGGGGATAGGGACAAAATATTTACAATTACACTTGACTTGTAGTAATGTCTTCAACTTGTCTCTTCTTGTACATGCTTTGAGAAATGACGGCAAATTTACAAAGTAATAAAAGTAAAAAACTGATCGGTTAATGATCAGCACTTGCACTACTTATTTTTTAAGTTATTATCGGTTGTGATGTGAACACAGCATAAGGCTACATATCACTGGGTAACAAAGGTCCCTCACCAGCACACCTGCCCTGCTCTCCACAGGTTCTCCTCACACCACACCACAACTAAATTGCTCTCCTATGGCCATTATTCCTCCTAATTCTGCCCTGTTCCTGATCTCTAGCTTGCCTAACAGGTTCATAATTATAAGCCTGTGGACCATCATATGAATATGAATATACATCTTCCTCTTCATTGGCAAGAGTGACATTCGGATCTATGTTTATTAATGTTAAACAAAGGCATAATCAGCGCGACGTCACACTCGAATGCCAGTTTTAAATGCGGAAGTAAAGGCAAACATACTAAAATGTCTCCAGGAGATCCTGTGGTTTATTCATTTCCTATCAATTGGTTAAATGGTGTCTTCAACCTGCAAGTTGCTCTTTAAAGTAAAAGCTTAAAAGAGTGGGTAGACTTTAGATACAGGGACAAAGCTACAGTAGACCGATTGACCAGAAACTAGTGAAATTTGTTTTTCTTTTTGTTTAAAATATAGAAACTTTATTTTGTATTATTATTATAGACTATTTTTAGTATATCATTTTTGAAGAAATGTGGCTTGTATTATTGACATTCAGTATATAAGATATAATCCTCATAGGTCTTGTTTTCACTCCTAGGTTTTAAAATATATTTTTAAACATCTTTCTTCCAACTAACCTTATTTTATGTGCTTACACGCCTAAACTTTAGCATTGTGTGTTCAATAGTTTAGTGAGAGCCTTGAAGGAACTGACCACAAAGGTTTGACAAAGAGATACATAATGCAAAGTATTGAACTTTGTTCAGCACGTTTGCTGTAATACAACAGCAGATGGCGTAGTTTGTAAGAGCGAGAAACCTCCTTCCCCGTGCATGTCACATTGACTCCACTACATTTTATTATGCTGTCTATGGCACGGGTCACACCCTGTGTCCTTTACACATCAATCAAAAATATTCCTGTTCATTGTTATTCTGAGTACATCTTACAAACAACAAAACATTACCATTAAAATATCTGTTATATTTGAGTACGAAGAGGATGATTGATGATTTTATTTTATTATCGTATCAAAAAATTGGCCCAGCCCAAAACAAACTAGACTACTGACCAAAAGGTGACACTTAATAGTTATAACGAAACAAACCATCCTGACATTTCTTTTATGTAAGGACACACTCTCTGGCTTCTCACTGGGGTTGCAGAGTCAGGTGTATTTGTGACTGATTGGCCTTGATTAAAGCCAGGTGTGGGGAGCTTATATATACTCCTGGAATTCAGTGCTCTGTGCCAACACATTATCTCACTTTCAGAGGTAGTGAGAGGTTCTCCCTGTGTTGTCTCTTGCTGTCTGTGTGTTCATAAACACAAACACATACATTTCTGTGTATTTGTGTCGATTGCTAAAATAACTTGGGGTGCTGGGTAGTTGATATACCCCAGCTTTTTGTGTTGAGTTTTAAGGCCTCCCTGGCAGCCTTTACTTTCGTGAATTGTTTCTGGGTGTCCCGGATAATTTAGTTTCGAGTCAGCTGCTTGGCAGCAGTGGTTTAGTTAATAATTTTCGGTGCATTAGTTAGAAGGGTGTTTTGGCTCTATACTATTTTCATTGTTCCCTTCCCCCCCCTCCAATCTATCGCTTGCGATTTTTGTGGTTATCCTTCTTGAATAACTTTAAGACACCCCTGGGTCCGCACCTGTGTCCCACTTTCCCACTTTCCCGTTTTCCTGACACTTACAGGCTTCAGAGACAATTGTGGACAGCTCATGAACATGAAATTAAACAACATCTCCACCCTGTCATCATCAGAGCTCCAAAACATTGAAGGATTTTGAGCTTACATTTAATTAATCAAAGGACATAAGAAGACATTACAAAAGAAAACAAGATTCCTTCTCAACTTCTTCTAATCACATAGTTCACACAGCCTGTGTTCCTTTGGGATGTTTTTGAATCTGCCGACTTCAAGAGTGAGAGAAAGGATTCCTGTTCTCAGCTTAGCAACCAAAGATCTCTGACTTCTTGATAAGTTTGCTTTAACATGGGATTCAGTAACATAATTGTGATTAATTTGAACAAAAGTCTGAGATGTTGGTTTTAACAAGATATATGGACATCAGGCAGGCTTGTTCTGTTGAGGTATTTAAAGCAAAGTTAAAGACCCATCTGTTTACTGTTGTGTATGAGTCATAATTTCTCTGTATGTTTTTCCTGAGAATCTAAGTGTGTTTTTAATTGTTTTTAGTTTTTGAAATGTTTTTTTAAACTGTATTGCTTTGTACAGCACTTTGATTTAAAGTGATTTATAAATAAATGTATTATTATTATTACATTTCACTTAGAAGACACTTTTATCCAAAGCGACGGACATCAGAGAGTAAGTACAACACAATTATTATTATTATTCAAAACTGTTGTAGGCAATGCATTTAGAAATAGATGGTAATTTAATGATTTGGTCTGATAGGTTTTATCCCCATTTATATTTCCACTGCACTAATTAACAATCAATTAGTTTGTCCTGCGAATACCATAAAGAGTCATATTACTCCATAATTATGAGTACTACTATTGCTTTGCATCACCAATCTATTAGATAAAATCCCATCGTTTCGGTCCCTCTGAAGGTTGTGTGGGATTTTTTAATTTTCAATGTGACCTATAAGAATAGTGCATGGAAAAGGTTTCAATCAGGGTCCAATGTGAGATGGAAATTGTTGGATATGGCCATAT